CTTCCGAATGTCTATAGTGAGGCTACCATAGAGGGATAAAAATACTATGTAGACTTAAAAAAAGCTTTTGAGTCATTGATATCAGAGGAATACAAATAATTTATTTTGACAATTGGTTGTATTGCAGTTCCTAGTTTTTACTCTCCTGATGACGGCCGTTTTAAAGTTTTTGCCTCTCATGCTACAGATATTTATGTTAAGAGTCATCCTCAAAGAACTTGTGAACTGTAAGAAATCATCTAAAGACAACTTAGTGCAATACTTTCAAATATTATATGAAATAATTGAAATGTATGAACTTAAAGGTTTATATAAAGATATTTTTGCGGAATATTTGTGACTTTTTATTACTAATAACCAATCGGAGCAAAGCCTGAGACAATGCTCATTTACATGCATGATTTCGTGTTTTGAAAATTGAAATCATTGACAACAATGATGAAAAGCATGGAAGGATGATCGAATCTAATCGATGAAAATTGTGCAAATTATGATGTACCTTCAGTTTCGCGGGAAACCTAGTTCTGAAAATAAGAGTTGACTCAAGCGCACAGCACATATGGGGGGTTCCGAGTAATGAGCTTCTGACGAGAGGCTCTAATCGAAATGACGATAATTATAATTTTTGCATTTGTGTGACATTTCTTTTGATTATTAGATTTATTCTTATATTTATTTCTGCTATTAGGTCGCATTTGTCATTTCATCCACCAGTGCAAAGACATTCAGTAACTGACACTCTTTTACCCCTCACCACATGGCTCCAATGGTTCCAGTACCCAAACGCACCCTCTCAACAAAAAACTCGCTTCCTTATTCCTTATATACTCCTCAAATAGGCTCTGGTTAACGCTTTTAACAGCGTCTTGTTTATTTTGATTTCACTCTTAGTTACGTCCCATGTGGATAGGTTTTTGAAAATACTCCGTGTCCGGCAGTCGGAAATTTTTAATCAAAGAGTAAAATTTCGGAAATTTTTCAACCAAAAAGTATTAGAAATATCATTGTTTAGAAATGCCAAGCGATTTCAAAACCTACTTTGATTTTCAGTTGACGAATTTTCTAAGCTTTGACATACATCAACCGTAAAATCGCTTGCCTTTCCGGCTTTAATTTGGAAAATATTTCTGACTCAGTACGATGGCGATGGGAGCTTGCAGTTTCAATTACTCGCCGAATTCCCAGAGAATACCTAATGAAAGTGTTCGATGTTCGTTGAAGATGCTAAGAGATTCCAAAAATTAAGGTGCCTTTTTAGCGGACGAATTTTTTCTTAGCTCGTGCAAACCAAGTGTACAATTGCCGCAAACCTAGAAACTTTACGGAGTTTTTGAAATCCCTTGACTATTCTAAACAAACATTTCAAGAGCAATTCTGCTAAGAATTTCTGAATGGCTGACACAGAGTGTTATAAAAAACCTGTCCGGCTGCCGGACGAATGAACGAATTACTGATGTGACAACAATTTGTGTTGCATTTGACTGAACAAACGTTTATGAACAACAGAAGCCTCACACAATACTTGGCTTGTTTTAATCATAAGGGTTGATGTATATTTAACATCTCAGTAAATTGAACCTCGTGACTCTTAACTTGTGCCAATTTTTTCTTTTATATATAGTTTTTTTCTTTCCTGTAAGCAATAGTTATTTGATGAATGCCTCAGGGGATTATTCCATCTGCGGTCCACAGGTACCTGTCAGACCACTCACCGCCGTCTGTTTAGACAGGCTCTTGTGTTTGGCTTTCGCCTTGCAGCACAGCCATCAATTACAGCATCAAAAGCCGCTTATGGAAACGCTTTTTGAAACCCCGGAGTCCCTATTATTAGTTATGCTGGTGATTCAATTCAATTATCTCTGAAATTCAGAATTGAATTCAATTCAGTTATCTCTGAAAGAAAGTAACATAATTTTTAATTTCGGTTTGTGACTATCTATTTTAGTTGACTGCCTCTTGTGTAATGGTTGCAATTGGCCGTTTTACAATTGTGTACTTAGTTGCCAAGCCTTTGATTTGGATTAAGGCTGAAGGTGACCTTGTTGTGATAGAGACCAGTATCTAGTTAGCATGATAACAAAGTAATTTGCATTTGAAAATCGAGCGAGGTTTGTATCATAACGAGGTTAACCTTAGCCTCACTCCTGTTCAAAGGCTTGGTAACCAAGCACGCAACTGCAAAATTGACTATTTGAGTTTTGACAGTGATTCAGTTCGCCCCGATTCACTGTTTCCCTGTTTACCCATCAACAATTTTACTATTTTCCTTTCATCATCATCGCGCAGAGGCATTACAGATTGGCATTCCTATCCTCGCAGTATACAGGAAGGTTGCCACTGTGGACCTGGTTAAATGGCCTAGCCTACTACGAGTCTACAGTTCCTCAGTGGTAGAGCGTCCAAAGTACCAATCAGAAGGTCGTACGTTCGAATCCTTTTGAGAAAACTTAAAGTTCTTTTTCTTTGGAGTGTGCTGGTGCCATTCACTGACTAACGTCATTTCGGACTTATATTACAGTTAGTCGTTGTACTGGTACTTAATGAACTGCCCACAATGCAGGGAAACGTTGATGAGACTCACCAGCTGAGAGATGTTCACTTGAGTACGATTCCCGGTCTCGCTGTCGTGACTTATGGCCGTCACACCAACACCGTCTTTGTCACTCATGTCACAGGTGACCTTAAATTTCGCTGTCAGGATCAATCAGGTATGAGCAAGCCCCAATCACTCTGACGAAGGGTTACGCTCGAAACATCAGCCTTTAAACTC